CTGTGCTTTTTCCTCATCCATCTCCTCTCTCTGCTCATTGAGTATGCAGGAGGGTGAGAATGAAACATAAATTGCTCCATGCTGCATCCTGGGGGCCTGAAGTAAGAATAAAAGAAAGTGGGGGAGGCAAACCAGTTATTGTAACTGCCCATGTATTGTCACAATTGCCCATTTGGTACCCATGTATTGTAATGTGTGCCCTTATATTGAGCCATTTGACAATTGCCTGTTTGTTGCCCGTCATTGCCCGTCATTGTTCATTTGTTTGCCAGTGTATTGTAGTGGTTGCCCATTAGACATGTGCAGCGACTAAAAATTTGTTTCGTTTCGGATTTCGCTTATTTCGTTTTTGGAATTCGGATCCTATATGTGTTTCGTTTCGGGAATCAGATTCGTATTCGGATCTGATTCGGAATTCATGTTGGATTGGGAATTCGGATTCGGTTTTTGGAATTCGGATTCAGAATTTGGACGAATTCTCGAAAATTCAACTTGAGGTGGGGTAGCAGAATTGGCACAATTGTAATTTCTGGTTGCTGTGCTCTAGTCTTTACTATTGAAGGGACATTACAATCCTTCTCTTAATTTGTTTTTATCCGTTTAAATGTTAACAGTGCCCGCACAGGATTTAGACGAAATTAGTTCCAAATCCGAAGTATCGGATTCGGATATGTTATATTTCGGAAATTCGGATGCTCCGAATCTACAAACTTTTGAAATTTCGTCCAAATTTCGATTCGGAATGAAACGACGAATCGCACATGTCTATTGCCCATTAGTTTGTAACACTTGCCCATTTGTTTCCTGAATGTTGTTACAATTGCCTGTTTGTTACTGGCATATTTCTAGTTTTGCCCATTTGTTGCCCTGTTGCCTCAATATTGCCCATTTGTTGCCTGTGTATTCTCAGGTTTTCCTTTTTGTTGTCTGTACATGCCAACATTTGCCCACATATTGTAACAAATGCCTATCTGCTGTCTTTATATTGCAATGATTGCTTGTCTTTGAACCACGTACTCAGTTGTTGTCTGTGTATTGTAATGATTGCCTGTTGGTTCCCGTGTATTGTCAAGATTGTAATTTTGTACTACAAATTGTCAAATCAGCTTTTGTTTTGATTTTTTTGTTAATTTTATGTATTTTTCTTATTGTTTTTATTTGTTTATTGTTCGGTGAAGTTTGTTATTTCAGGCATGAATATAACAACTTCAAAAAAATGTATTGAAACAGAAAGTAACAATGGGCTACATTCTTCTTGTCTATTACATTTTGCAAGTTGCTACAAGGAAATGCGGCACTCCTGTATCTGTTGAAGATCGGTGTGTAATCTTTAATTCATCAATCGGCATACAGAAAATGTCTCAGACAAAATAACTAATGCGCTTCACACATACTTGTTCTATGCTTAAGCGCGAGTATGCGTGAAATGCGTCAGAGAAATATGCCAACATGGTCATATCTCTGAATCTATAGAATTATATGGGCAGCTTTATTATCATATCAAAAATCAGCATAAAAACTCAATGTAGCACATAAAGACCACTTTCCAAGCCTAATCTGGCTATTTTTTTAAGCCCAGGAAGTCCCTCTCTAGACTAGTAGTTTCTAAGAGAAAGAGCTGTATTCAACTCCAAATGTCACCCACTTTGAGCATCCTGCAACTCTAACAGCCATTTCTCAGTTCCTAGTTCCGGTCCAGTGAAGCTCAATGGGATCAGCTTCACCGTCCAGGAACTTGCTTGTATTAGAAGTTTAGTGAATAAAGATTATCACTCAGACTTGGGCTCTGAAAAATTCCTATGTATTCAACCCTAAGGGCTCATCTGCCTGGACTTGTGATTTGTATTTAAACTGTTTATCCTCCTCCTACTAATCCAGTAAATGAAGCAGCTGAAAGTGACTCAGAAGGAGCTTGAAGCACTTCCTTGAGCAACTCAAAGTCATGTTAGAGTAATTTAGGAGAAAGTTCAAGTAATATTAAACTCTCAAACTTTTTTTTCAATAATAAATCAGTGTCAAACAAATATACATTGTGTCACGATCTGGAATCAGGCGAGACCCGGGGGTAGGACACACGCACACGTCATCACCATAATAACACCAGGGGACACCCGGGGGTGGGACACACGCACACGTCATCACGATAATGACACCAGGCGACACCTGGTGCGGGACACACACACACGTCATCACAATAATGACACCAGGGGATGGACATAACAATAATGACACTGGGGGGACGGAGATAACAATCATGACACCAGGAGACATAATAATCACAATAATAATAATGACACTGGGGGACATAATAATAATAATGAAGTATATACATATAATACTAAAGCTGAGGCTCCTAGACCCGAATGGCATTCGGGATCCGAATTTCCAAATTGCATTCAGGAGCTCCTGAAAGCCATTCGGGTCTGGGAGCCATATACATATATTACTAAAGCTGAGGTTCCCAGACCCGAATGGCATTCAGGAGCTCTCGAATGCAATTCGGAAATATGGATCCCGCATGTTATTCAGGTCTGGGAGCCATATACACAGATTACTAAAGTTGGGGCTCCGACACCCGAATGGCATTTAGGAACTCCTGAATGCAGTTTGGAAATTCGGATTCCGAATGCCATTTGGGTCTGGGAGCCTCAGCTTTATTATTAATATCTGTATATGTTTTTTTGTGGTATTCGCAACGAATATTCATAAACGTATCCGAAACTAAAGAAAATTCAGAGAATACAAGATCCGAACTGAATTGAATGTCGAATCCAAATCTCAAATCCCGAAATAACAAAATATCCGAACCAAACCGAATTTTTCCACAGCTTACATGTCTAGAGAAGAACCTTTGGCAATGGTGGAAAATGAACATCAGCAGCCCAGGCTGTGGGACAGGTGAGTATTACTTATGGTCTTTCAGGGCCCATTCACACCGGATCTGTTGCATTGCGATCCGTTTTTCAATGGATGCTCATGGAAGGGCACTGAAAAATGAATGGGGCACCTCTCCGTTCACATGGTAACGCAATGGATCCGGTGTGAACTAGCCCCATTCACACCCATTGATTTTTGGGTGCTCTTCCATTAGCATCCATTAATAAACGGATCGGAAAGGAAATCGGGAAGTAACATTGCAAGTTAACAGACCCTCCGTTGATTTGCGATCTCCCTCCAAATTTATGTGTGAATGCAATCTTACAGACACTGCGTTGTTGAATTTGTTAAAAACCCAACAGATTCCTTTCTTACAGTGTAAATGGTTGTTAGAGTTGCAGGATGCTCAAAATGTGTCTCGCACAGATACCATCAGCCGATTCTCTTTAAGAACCCCATAAACCCTCACAAAGCATACATAGCATGGGGGTTTACAATGATGACCCTTGTGCTCTAGTCTCCATGTATCAAACAATCATGCTTTAGAGACATACATACCCTTCAGTATATAAAGCTGGACCCAATGGTCCTCTCACTGGGCCTAGTGTACCGAACCTGAGAAGAATGGTCTTCTATAGAGTAACAAGAATGTGAAGATTCTTACCTAAGACAAATAAGAGCACCATGGCCGTCACTCAGTGAGATGTCTTCTCTGCGTTCTGTGTCACCACACCCAGGAATAAGGAACTGCAGATGAACAAATACTCCCCAGGAAACCACAACTTCAAGACATCGTTAGGCTGATCGCATCATCTGACATTGAGACTTAACTGATCTCAGCCATGTATGTGATGTCAATGGTCACCCGGGGAGCAGCCATGCAGCGGGTAGACCCCGGCTCCATCTCCAGATCTTGTAACCATTCATTGAAGGTCATTATCACATATTATGTGGCAGGCATGCTTCTAGTAAGTCCTCATTCTTTCAGTGGATGCACTTATACCTTCATCTCCAATATGTAAACATACTCCGTACATGGGAGCCAGCAGCGGCCAATGCAAAAAAAAAAAAAAATATTGCTTAAACTGTATACAGCAGGTTGGGGGGAACTCTGCCTATTTATAGGCAGTTATTATGACAGATGAATCTTCCTGTTGCATGTGTTTTTAAATGACAGTGATTGATGTTTGATGAAAACCACATTCACTGCTGTATAAATATTATGTTTTAGATTAAAGAACGGAAGAGTTAAAACCCCTTTTGCTGCCTGTGTAGGGAGCTTTGCCATCACTTCCTGTCCAGGTGACACAGCAGGAAGCAAGAGAAAATCTCTCCATGGTGGGAGGAATTTGGCTCTTGGTTGTCACGGGAACAAGTGTACACGTTGTTACCTGAAATAAATAGAGTGGGGGGCATTCATGAAAACTGGAGCAGACCAATCAGCTTCTCTCATTAGTTTGTTGAAAGAGAGAAGCTGATAGGTTGCCATGGCAACTGCTCCATGTTTTGTCTGCTCCAGTTTTTATGAATTCCCACGGAAAGTCTCCCAGGAAGGGATACAGAGCAATAAATATGTTGAATCAGCTGTAATTGTGCTAAAATGTATTCTGTTTAATTTTCCCCTTTTTAATTTTTTTCTTTTAGACCAAAAGTATCAAAAATATAAACTATTATGAAAACTTGTCTGTGAAGGTTCTCATTCATCCAGGTCATTTTATATCCGTAAAAAATAAGTCAAGGCAACTGTATTTTTCTTGAAGACGTTTCAATATTCACTATTATGAAAACTGTCTCCAAATTCCATGTCAGCCGCCATCTTGTCGTAGCCCAGATAACGTTGCACGGTACCCCCCGCAGAGAGCGGCTTCCGTGCTTAGGTGCAGTATGTACACGGGTCAGGGTCTCCACGTATCACTGGCCCCTCAGCGCAGACATCTGATTGGTCCAGATCAGCTTCTTGCCCTTACAAGGCAAATAAGGGTGGGGCGGGGAAGTGTGCGCGTCCCCCAATGAACGGTTGCTTGCTGTAGGACATTCGCCAATGAGACTCCGGAATGAGATTACTGACGGCTGCAGGAGCCAGTAGGAGAGGAGGTTGGCTGTTACGGAAGTGGTCTCGGCGTGTGAGCTCTGTCTCTGCCGCTTCTATGGCTCCCGTTCTCGGTTTCCTTTGGCTGCTGCTGCCGGTGATAGTGGCCGGGCTGGGACAACCCCAGGACTCGGAGCTGACCTTCCTGCTGCCGGCCGGGAGACAGGAGTGCTTCTATCAGACGGCGCTTTACAATGGCAGCATGGAGGTGGAGTACCAGGTGAGATCCTGCCAGAGACCAGCCTGGGACCACGGGGGGGATGTCATCCAAAGACACGACCGGGGATGAGGAGTACATGTCACCCAAAGACCAGAGGAGGAAGAGAGAGTATCTGTAGTCTGAAGAGAAGTAGGGACTAGGGAGCGCCTGTAGTGTACGCAGCACCTGTAGGCTGGGGAGACGGTTGGGAGCACCTGTAGCCTGGGGGAGCGCATGTAGCCTGGAGAGATGGGGGCGCGCCTGTAGTCTGGGGAGACGGGGGAGCACTTGAAGTTCCTCTCGGTGTGTAACATTTGATTGTCTCCTGCAGGTGATTGGTGGAGCCGGGCTGGACGTGGACTTCTCCGAATTCCTTCAGCACAATCTCGGAGAAGTTGGTGTTCTTTGAGATCATATTTGACAGTCAGCAGGGTGACGAGGAGCCGGACAGCTGGGCCGACATGGTGGAACCGGACGAGCTTCTGGATATAAAGATGGAGGACAGCAAAATGATCACTGTGATTGGCTATTACATAATTGGGAGCTGGACCTCGGGGGAGGGGAGGATGTGCAATTGGGCGTGCTCCCAGCACAGACTAAGGTACACATATTTAAGTTCCAATCCATGCCCCACGCATATGCTACAGCCAGACTAAAGTTTAATAAACGCTGGAGCTTTAGATGCCTATTTATGCCTAAACAATTTTGCCCTGCGTATCTCTGTTTAATGTTTGTTCTGTGCCAACAGATGCAAAAATGAATGTTCTTAGTATATGGTTTATGTAAATTAGAATGTTATAATGTAGCTCCACATTATGGCCACTAGATGGCACAGAGGAGCATAGGAGTAAATACATTATGGCCACTAGATGGCGCTGAGGAGCATAGGAGTAAATACATTATGACCACTAGATGGCGCTAAGGAGCATGGGAAATAAATACATTATGGTCACTAGATGGAGCTGAGGCAATAAATACATTATGGTCACTAGATGGAGCTGAGGCAATAAATACATTATGGCGCTGAGGAGCAGAGGAATACATTATGGCAACTAGATGGAGCTGAGGAGCATAGGAGTAAATACAGTATAGCCACTAGATGTAGCTGAGGAAATAAATACATTATGGCCACTAGATGGAGCTGAAGAGTAGAGGAAATAAATACATTATGGCCACTAGATGGCGTGAGGAGCAGAGGAAATATTTACTCTGCTCCTCAGCCCCATCTAATGGCCATAATGTGGTATTACATTGACATTACAGTAAACCTTTTGCTGTTTTGCCTGTCTGACTGTCCCGTCTTCTCTTGTCAGGAGTCCATAGAGAGTATGAGGGCCAGACTGGAGCGCAGCATGCAGATGCAGACAGTCCTGCGAGCCTTTGAAGCCAGAGACCGTAACTTGCAAGATAGCAACCTCGGCAGAGTCAACTTTTGGTCGGCTGTCAATCTGGCAGTGCTGGTGACGGTGGCCTTCCTCCAGGTCTACATGCTGAAGAGCCTCTTTGACGACAGGCGTAAGAGTAGGACGTAGTAGGAGGAGGATCTGACGTCTTGAGTTAAGTGCTTCAAATCTGTACAGTCTTCCACCAGAACTAAGGATGAGGAATCGGCACACTCGTCCCGCTATGGTTGTCACTTTAACGCAATCTCTGTTTGGACTTTGAAAACATAAAGATGTGTCAGCGTGCAATGTATAGGAAGGGGAGCAGAGACTGTACCCCCCTAGACTTATGAACTGTCATGCCTGCAACATACGTTAGTAAGATTGGTCACCTCTTGATGTGAAGAACACAGGAGAACATGGACTGGGCCCCCTGTATATGCAGCCCCCTGGGGCTTGTAGCACACACAGTGTAAGGAACATCACGCCTCCTCTGTGTCATCTAAGAATTGTCAGCGCCCATAACAACCAGTCAGCTTCCCTCTATCAGTTCCTAAGCTGCAGTGACAGTATGAAGGGGAATATGTCATGGATGCTGGAGGTCGTACCAACCAGGAGTCTTGTAGACCTTTCTATACACTGCCTGGCCAAAAAAAAAGGTCACATACTTGAACATCATTGGACCTCCTTTAGCTTTGATTGCGGTACACATTCGCCGTGGTGTCCTTTCCATAAGCTTATACAATGTCACAACGTTTATTTCCATCCAGAGTTGTATTAATATTAACCAAGATCTTGTAGTGATGATGGGAAAGTCAGACCTCTGCGTAAAGTTTTCTCCAGAACATCCCAAAGATTCTCAATGGGGTCAAGGTCTGGACTCTGTGGTGACCAATCCATGTGTGACAATGATGTCTCATGCTCCCTGAACCACTCTCTCACAATCTGAGCCTGATGAGTCCTGGCATTGTCATCTAGTATTATGCCCAATGTGCCATCAGGTGAGAAATAATCCATTGATAGGGAAAAACCTGATCAGTATATTCAGAATGGCAGCTGAGCTCATATTTGGGGACATAGGGTTACTGAACCTAGACCTGACCCAACTGAACCACTCTTCGATCATAACACGTGTCCAGTGGAAGGCTCTGACCTATCTGCTTGGCTAGATCCAGGTGGTGACTTTCTTTTTGGCCCGGCAGTGTACACGAAGCATACAGTCATAACCATCAGTTGTTCAGCGCAGTGTCACCCTCTGTAGCTACGAACCAAACTAAACCTATAGAACCCCTTTCAAAAAAGTTTGCTGGTTCTATCAAATTGTATGCGTTTGGTAACCTCCGGGGACGCACTTCTTGCCTCATAACGGGAAGCGTGGCGTCTAAAGAGAATGCTATTCGGTCCCGCTTGCATCTAAATGACTTCTATAACAAAATGTTGCGCAGCCTGACTTCATGCTAAGGAAAGGTTACATTTGTATTTGTCGGTGAGCCTGTGAGAGATTTTGCCTCACTTCCTGTCTAATCTGTCCGTCCAGAGTTCCATTTTATTTTCCCCCAGATCTTGTAGTGATGATGGGAGAGTCGGACCTCCTATGTAAAGTCTTCTCCAGTCTGAGGTTGTAACACTTCCCCCGTGTTTCAGTCTGTCGTCACTGGAGAGATGTTCAGACTGGAACCCCTCTTACCCAATAGGGGGGTCTATCCCTTCCCTTCTGGGTCCAAAACTAGAAACATTGTTTTGGCTGGGGTTGAGATGAAAAGATAAAAATCCACTCCGCCTCGGCATGCTAGAGCTGTCCGGGTCAGACACATCATGACGTCTGCTACTTCTCAGACAAGAGCAGGCAAAGAACATACAGGGTTATTCACAAAAGGGTGAAGAGTTTGGAGAAGGCCGGAGAAGTGAACAATCTAGGACAACATAGCGGAACTGGAAAGTTAGCTGAATTGGTGGAATCACTCGTTCCTGGTCATTGGTGGAGGGCTGTGATCAATCAGATGTGACGACAGACGGAGTTCCTGGTTGGGAATCGCTAATATCGGCCATATTTGGGCTGTTCGAGTTGATCTACATCCACCAATTGTATTTCACTTCTTTCAAATCTCCAGCTTAACATCTGACTGGTTGTTGTGGCGAACACGATTCTATTTGATCTTTAGCATTTATAAATGAGGTGCTGCAAGGTGACCGGTCCTTTGGAAGCGGATTTCCACTTGAAATAGAAATGTCCCATTTCTTCCTCAGGTAGAAGTGTCCCAGGCACTGGAAGAGCGGGAAAAGCGGACTTCCCCCTGGGCTGCAACTGGCTGTTACCTGCTATTGCAGCACTACAACAAGAATGGTTACACATGGGCACTGGATATGGAGGTGGATCCGATGCACGTGTGGCTCCAAGTCGTGCTTTACCTGACAATCCAATGCTTTCCTGCTAGAGGAAAAGTGATTAGTGAAAGGCCCGGCAGCATCAAGGTATCTTAAACGCTGTTTGTGGCACTGCTGCACGGACTGAAGGCTTTACTCGGTTGTACTGAGCCATTCTTCTCCATGTAATCTTTCAAAACTAGCATTTTGGGGAAAGGGGGGTGGGGTTCTTAGTGGGTGTTGAGAGCCCCCCTTTTCAACCTCAGTTGTACAAGAGATGGAAGGTGCATTGAGAATCCCATTTCGAATTGCAGGTTAACAAGGCTGGGAAGGAGCGTTATGAGCCCCCTTTTGAGGCTACAAGGCTGAGCAGTTGTGTTGGAAGCCCCATTTTGAATCCAAACTGTACGAGGCTGGGATGGTGCGTTGTAGATCCAGTAGTTGACGGGGGGGAGATCTACAAGGCTGGGAAGGTGTGTTGGGAGCCTACTTTCATCCCCTGGGTTTACAAGGCTGGGAAGGTGTGTTGGGAGCCTACTTTCACCTCCTGGGTCTACAAGGCTGGGAAGGTGTGTTGGGAGCCTACTTTCACCTCCTGGGTCTACAAGGCTGGGAAGGTGTGTTGGGAGCCTACTTTCATCCCCTGGGTTTACAAGGCTGGGAAGGTGTGTTGGGAGCCTACTTTCACCTCCTGGGTCTACAAGGCTGGGAAGGTGTGTTGGGAGCCTGCTTTTAAAATCCCAGGTGTACAAGACCGGGAAGGTACATTTTAGACCCAGGAGTTGGGGAGGGGCGGGTTCTGCAAGGCTGGGAAGGTGTGTTGAGAGCCCTCTTTAGAACTTCAGGCTGGATAGGGGCATTGAGAGCTCCCTTTTAAAGCCAGGGCCCCTACAGGGTTGAAGGTACAACTGTTCTGAGAAACCTGAGCCGTGGGCTGTCAGTCACTTACGAGTTGCAAACCTGTGTACAAAGCTTCTACTGTTGTCTGAATGAGGCAGCACAGGTAGACATCTTCTATTAAAATTGGAAATCTTTCCTTACTAAACCCAAAACAAGGGCCGAGGTTCAGTGGATGACGCGCAGTACAAGGAGCAATATGAACATTTTGAATAATGTGAAATAATGAACACAATGTCCAGCATCTCTCCTAGGAATCATCCACATTGCTTCCCTGCTCATATCTGTCCGCTCACAATGTGAAGTCTACACCATTACTTGTCACCAGCAAGACTCTTGCCTTGTGTGTGCGCTTTAAAAAGCTTATTCGGATGTAAAGAAGATGGTGACTACAAGCTCCCCTCGGATGATTTGGACCACCTTGGTGTTTCCTGGAAGTGAAGATGCCTTGTCCTGATAGAAATAAGAGCTCTTATAGAGAGTCCATAGACGAGTGGGGACAGATTGGGATCTTAGGTTTACCCGCAGGTGACGACTTTGATATTGGTACCCAATTTCAGGAAACTGTGAGGATTGACAAGTAGAACCACATGGAGGGTGTCCGGGTCATCTGAGGACGGTTATAATGCAGTATTTGCCTTTTTAGCAATTTTTAAATGTCTGTGTAGGGCGGGAGACCTTTCTGTTTTTATTTTCATGCAGTATGTATTGTGTCTTACATGGCATTGTCACTTATCTCAGATCACCCTTTTTTTTTTTTGCAGGGGGGGGCATGTTAATGTGTACCTATTCCCTACACATTTTGGAGGCTGGTGTTTTGTGTGCATGGTAGGGTCACTTGTAAGTGTGCCTGTCGCTTTGTAGAGGCCAATACTGTAGGTGGGCTGGAACGGGGTAACCATTGTGCTTCCATTTGTAGTAAAGAAAGTCTATTCTAATTTTTATGATGTAATGCTTGCCTGTTCTGGTGCTCACCCCTAAACCAGTGGCCTAGGGTCATTCTTGGATGAAGTTTGCACTGTGATAATGTGTGATTCCAACATTCATAGTTAGGTTCAAAAAAGACAAGTCCATCAAGTTCAACCTATAGAGAACCTATGCAAAGTGTTTTTCCACACTCAGCTTCCAATAAGTCATGCTGACAAGCATCCATTGACTAAACCTGTCCCAAATGGTGCCCAGTAGTTACCTTCCCTACTCTATTTTCCAGTCTCCATTGGGCGCACTTTAAGCTGGCGATGGAATGACGGTGATTCTGTGATATTGATACTGTCCCCTAACCGTGCCGATACCTTCAATATCACCATTGCTGCTACAAAGAGATTTGTATTTTTCTAGGAACTCCTCAGTGCCTTATCCCCATCCGTTCTTAGCATGGGATTTGTAAAAGACAATTTGCTTTTGTTTACTTCGATTTCAGTGCCCTTTCTTGATGTTTCTTTGTAATGTTTTGTGATCCTGTTGTGGAAAAGACACACACCTGATAAGCAGTGGTACAAATTTGATATTTTAATAAATAATGTTCTTGTACATGTGGTTGGGAGGAGAATCTAAAGGTGACCCCCAGCTTGGGGGTGACAGGTCTCTATTTGCACCACAGTGACAACAGCTGGATGCATGGATAAAAACACTATCATTCTTATGACCCTTTGACAATTTGCACTTGGTCTGAGGAGTTGAGATCCTGAACTAAAACCTGCGGAAAAACAAATCTAATAGCTGTGCTGCAATATAGTGCTGATGTTTGCCACAGCTCTGTACCAATGTTCTATCGAAATGGCCAACTTGTTCAGATCTCCAACTCATTACATCACGTCCGGTGACTTGCCAGCACGAGATGTGGACAAGATGGCACTGGTGCGTGTGCACCAGCCGGGGCAGTGTCAGAATTCTCATCGAGTTCACCAATTCCCATCAGTGTGCCTGCCCGGCTTCACAATCCTCAGAGTTCTCCAACTCTCGTCAGTGC